GATACCAAGGTCTAGTACCCAGTCCTAGTAGCTGGATAGGCAAGAACCTCTGAGTTGGGAGTCTCAAAGGTACTACCAACCAGGCTACTAGAATGAATCAAAGGAAAATGATATCAGGCTGACCTGATATACTGATGAACTGGTCATAGTCCTACACAGGCTATCTGGATTGGAAGTTTGGTAAAAGAGCAGAGGAAAAGGCAGAGGTATACTAAAATATCAGAGTTAAGCTGTAAAGTAGATGCTGAGGTCTAAGTAAATTCTACAAGAGCATAGCAGTTTAATGGTTAGTCCTGATTACAAGTGTTGGTTCTGCTATAGCGATACCTAGGTTAGCTGTAAAAATATGTACAAAAGGCTCTAGAAGGTTTCCTTCAAGGATAAATTAATCTTAAGATTAAGGATGATAATCTGATACATCTAAGATGACCAGTGATGTTAACACAGATTACAGGTTCAGAGGGTTTAAAGTAGAACACCCAAGCAAGAGTGTTAGGTATGGCAATTAGTGGGAAACCTTTAGGTAGACTCCTTAAATAGGTAATATAGAAAAGTTACATGTATAGCCAATTGTATGCTCTTCTGTAGTAGTTCATTGAACCACAATACTGATAAGTGATTAATAAAAGTCAAAAGACCAAAGAGGTCACCTTAATAAAAAAAAAAAAATCTTCTGCAAATTTTTTTTAATTATATGATCTTGGTAGAATATTTGACATCTTCTAAACTTAAACTTATGATCTTATAATTAAGACTTAGGAGTATTAACTACTATACTATTAACTCACAGGTTTAATTAATTAATATTTTATTTTATTTATACTAAATTATATAATTATTTGTTTAACTTATATAAAAAAATTTCATATAGACCTATAGATCAATAGTATAATAATTAGTATTTCTGAATTATAATCACAAGATTACAAGTTTAAATTCTATTAAATAATAATAATTTTATCAAATTTATGATTAGAATGATCTTTAAAGATTTTTATTAAAAAAAAAACAAAATTCATTTATAAAAATATAATCTATTAGTATAACTATTGAATCAAAAATAGTCAAAAAAAAAAATTTTTTTAACAGCTAATATGTATTAATATTGAGAAAATTCAACTAAAAGAATTAATAAAAAAGAGTATTAAATATAAAAAATGATCTAATTGGTAAGTTATATGAAGTTAAAAAACTGTAAACTATATAAAAGATAGTAGGTTTTATATTGTCAAGTTAGAAACCCTGAACATCATATAATAAACTTAATAGAATATGAACTATCTTATGAATATAATAATAAATATAGAAACTACACAACATTTGACAATCTCTGCTAAATGATAATTCTGACCTTTAAAAAGATATAACAGATTTTAAAGATGTCTAAGTACCTTCAGAATAGCAAAAAAAAATAAAAAAATTCTATATATATATGGAAGTGAGTTAATAGAAATGCACCAGATTTTTTCTAAGTAAATTTTTTTAAAACTTTAAGCCCAAATAACTTAGCAAGAACTCAACCATATTTAATAGATTTTTTTTTAAATTAATTCTAAATTCTTATAGAATTTGTTTAAAAAAATTTTTATTAAATTTGAATAATTTCTTGTCAAGTTACCTTTGTTTAAAGTTGCAAAAATATTTCACTAAAAAAGATTTGGTGTGTTTCTATTGACTCACCCCCATATATTGAAATCTTCAAATTTTATGTTCATTAAAATGATTATTTACAGTAAATAAATTAAAGCAAAAGTTATTTAACTGAAAATAATTTGAGTTTAGAATCAAATAGATCAAAATTAATAGATAATAAATACATTAATTTAGAATTAGATAAAATAGAATTAATAGAAAAAAATTATTTAGATTTGAATTTTTTTTCATGTTAATATGATATAAATGATTATAGTATTAGTACAAATAATAGAATATAACCGGATCAGAAACTAATAAAAATGCCCTGATCTGTGCCTATATGATCAGAGTAGTTTTGCTAAATACTCCCGTAATCTTGATATAGTGATCAGAATATTTTATTACTAATTAACTGAGTACAGTACATTAATATTTATTATACTTAATGCAGAAATGTTAAACTTAAGTTTTGCAAAAAAAAAGAAAAAGAAAATAAAGCATTCAAATACTATTGAATAACTGCGAAGGTAGATAATACTGAAGGAATATGTAAAGCTGGATATTATTATAAAATAGAATCAGTGTTGAAAAAGATGAAAACAAGGCATTTGAATACTATTTCAATACGTATTACAAAGTTGCAAAGATGGATAACGCTAAAGGAATGCAATTCAAAAATCGCCCATACTTATATTCTTATACGTTAATAAATAAATCATTTAATGTTAATTCGAATCAGCTATTTAGTTAGGCATAATGATGACAATTATTTAATAAATACTGTATTTAAAATGTATTATTGCTATTACTGTTACAGACGTTATAAGAAAATTAAGTGCAAAGAATTATATATCCAGAATTTTGTAAAAAATTAAAGTCAAAGAAATGACACCACAGTAAATATTAGATAGTTTTAATTGGTCATTTGTTTAGCCATTAAGGCCGAGTCAAGTGGACGTTAATGCTAGTAGAAATTGTTACATGATTCGGTCAGCTTTAATACCTATATTGTAACTTACATAAAGCTAAGTAAGTTACAATGTAATTTACCAATGTAAGGTATGCTGTCAGATTAGTGTTCCGCAAACGGGTACCCGAATTGAATTCGCAGGGGATGTTTAACATTCCGCTGTCAAGCAATTGAGTAATAATAGAATGTGACTTAATTATTATCCAATCTCTTGACGACGGAATGTTAAAAATCCCCAGCGGTTCCAATTCTGCGGAACACTAGTTTTGACAACCCTATTCACAGGGTGATTTCGACTTTTAGCCTGAATTAAGCTTAATTCGGGCCATTATTCGAAATAATGCGCATGCGCGAAAATACTGTATTAAATTATTTAAAAAAATTGTTGCTTATAAAATATATTTAAAAATAGCAACAATTTATTTTATAAAAAAAAAAATATTTATTTTTTATTAAATTTGAAACAGATTATAAAAAAAAAAAAATTTAGTAATTAAATTTATAAGCTTTACAAATTAAATCAATCTGTGTTTATTGAAAACAGATGAATTATTGTAAATTTGTTGTACGATAATTAGAATTTAAAAGATCAAATATATGAATATCGCTTGAAAGCTTTTCCGTTTTCTCTTGATGTTATTCATATATACTGATATAAATAAACATATTTGTATCGTATACTACAATTAATTACATCTCTTTTATTAAGGTGCTATATTGGGCATATGATGCATTACTGCATTACACTACATTATCGACAAAAGATTCGACAAAAAAAAAAAAAACCTAGGCTCAAAAGGAAGTCTCGGCAAAAAATACGTATACGTATGTACATTTGACTTTGACCCACTTTGAATTTATAAGTAAAATTTTAATTTGCATATGTGTACATATCTATGTTTAGTTTTTTGAAATTAGGTGGGACATTGCTGGTGATACGTAGGGTTTTGCATTGTGATAATCGAAGATGTGATTATTGAGATTCTCAAACACGTTTTACACAACACCCTTGTTCATCCACAACAATCAAAAAGCTTGTCGTAATGATAAATTTAGTATAATGATAATCAAGGCTCTAACGCTAACTTTGGCGCTAACTTTGGCACTAACCTAAATCTAGCACGTGAATAGAATATTTTGTCAACAATATTTGCGCGCAAATATCAGTATGTGATAAATGAAGAGAGTTGTCATACCGTTAATCCATCTTTGGTATATCTGTGATCATCAGGAAATAATAAATCCTTGTTCTTATCATTTCATTCTTTCCCGTTAAGGAGCTAAAGCTAGAAATGCTGAAATGCCATGGAAAGTTATTTTAAAATTTAGGTTACACTTAAATTTATAATATAACACAATATTAAATCAATATTTTTTCTAATTAATTAGTCATTTCCTCCCTAGAACAAGTAAACTTCCAGAGAAAAATTAAAATAGATGATACACATAGTACAAAACTAATTTCTCAGTCGCATATGGTTAGTGAAGAGTTTAACTTCGTATTAATCCTAATTTGCTAGAGCTTAGTCCCATGCAAGAGAATAATTTGCATAAATAAAAATGCAACAATATATGTACGTACATATATATATGTATATATATATGTATTTATAGTATGAATTTCAATTTGATTGATTCTACAAGTGAGTTATAATATCATGTGAATACGTAATGGTAATACGCTGTATATATACTGCTATATATATTTATTATTTGCTAAATCTTGTCTAACAAAAAGAGCAGCATGTTTGTTTTCCGAAATGAATTGGAAATATGATCAGTAGTCGATCGCAATTTGGTAAGATGTGACAGAATATAAAGACTCAGTGGATCCATGCATAAATTTATAAATACTTATACAATTGGTCCGATGCACTGATTTAATACGGCGCATGCGCATTCATATAAAACAGTACTCTCCATTTACTGTTGTCGTTTGAATAATATACGATATGAATTAGCGTTATCATTTCCTGACTGTGTTTTTTTTTTCCATTGTTTTCTTCTTTCGTTTCAATATTACAAACTCTAAATTTTTTAACCGAACTTTTAACTTTTAAGGCCAAAGATAATTGCCCGCGCAACTTCGTTGAGCCTTTGGGTAAAACCTTCCTTTATGCAGCCTTTCACTCGGTGCGCCAACTACCCACTGTTACAACTATTGCGCATTTTATTCTGATTTAGCGCAAATTAAACATCCTTTTTCCCAAAAATACCCTTATCATCCCTCTTTCCGAGCTTACATTTCATCCACGAAAACCATATCTCTACTTAAAGCATTAGATTAATAAAAATACAAATGATGAAAACTCGAAATTTTTCAATAATATGGTTTTTAGTCTTCACTTTAAGTTTAGTCATATTGGCGCATTCGAGTGAGGCTCAGAGTCAGGAAATGGTAAAGGATGGGCAGGTCTCTTCCTTTCAACGTCGTATTGATACGTCAACAAAAGACGATTCTGAATCTGCTGTCAAGCCATCTAAACCTGAAAAACCTAACTCAAAAAATGAAGATGTACAGCCTCAGAAACCGACTCAGGTTTCTAAAAGTTCCCTCAAAAATAATAATGTTAAAGATTCTGATGTACAGCCTCAGAAACCGACTCAGGTTTCTAAGAGTTCCCAAAAAAATAATAATGTTAAAGATTCTGATGTACAGCCTCAGAAACCGACTCAGGTTTCTAAGAGTTCCCAAAAAAATAA